CAAAGAGAGGGACGCCCACCGCCTGCGTCACCGGCCGCCGGACCTCACCTGCACCGTGTGCTCCAAGACGTTCGGCTCCCAGTCGCAGCTCTTGCGACATCTTCAGACGCACACGGTGGAGGGCGCCGAGCTCTTTTACCGTTGCCGTTTCTGTGAGCAGACCTTCTCAGGTAACTTGGACAGAGGTTGCCGAAATGCCGAAGTAGAAGTACGGATACTTTGGTAAAAGTCGGAGTACAGTGGGTACCACCTTGCGATACGCTGAAAAGACAAACGGTGGTTGAACTTACTCAATTTTATTTTAATCATCTGTACAGATACAATTTTAAAGTACATATATAGTCTCCTTCCAAAATAAATCTGAATTTACATGATTTTAATTTAATTTACACTTCTTGACGTTGTACCGTGTCCGATCCTCCGCAGGCGTGACTCTGCTTCGTATCCACCAGCGCTCTCACACGCCGCGCTCTTACCGCTGCGATAAGTGCGACAAGACGTACGCCTCGCTCACCGGCCTTCAGTCCCACCGGGCGAGTCACAACAAAGACAGTCGCTTCCTGTGCCCTCAGTGCGGCAAATGCTTCAAGACCCGCGACGGGCTGGAGGGCCACCTGAGGACGCACAGCGGCGAGCGGCCGTATCGCTGCCCCTACTGCTCCAAAGATTTCACCGCGCTGGCCGGCCTCAACGTGCACGTGCGACAGCATACCGGCGAGCGGCCGTACGTGTGCACGGTTTGCGGCAAGGGCTGGCCGTCCGGAGGCGACCTGCAGAAGCACATGAGGGTCCATACGGGCGAGCGGCCGTACACCTGCCAGGAATGCGGGAAGTCCTTCGCCAACTCCGGCCACCTGAGCGAACATCGCCGCATCCACACCGGTATGTTTGACTGCCTCTCGATGGCCTGATTTACGCAAATTTTTGCACCAAACTGATTGTCGGCAAAGAGACTCGGCATGTTGACGCATATCGGCCTTTTTTTTTTTTTTTTTTGTCCATACGGGCGAGCGGCCGTACACCTGCCAGGAATGCGGGAAGTCCTTCGCCAACTCCGGCCACCTGAGCGAACATCGCCGCATCCACACCGGTATGTTTGACTGCCTCTCGATGGCCTGATTTACGCAAATTTTTGCACCAAACTGATTGTCGGCAAAGAGACTCGGCATGTTGACGCATATCGGCCTTTTTTTTTTTTTTTTTTTTTTTTTGAGAAGTTGTTTTCAAATTGGGGAAACCTGG